GAAGTTCTTTTTATTTATTCTCCCCCTGAATTTCAGTTTTGGAGAAATAAGGAATTTTTTCAAAGAATGTCACGTCCATTGTGTCATAGACTTTTCTTGTGTTGGGACAAAAACACTTATAACCTTTCTTGTTTGTGGAATAACCAATGAGGACACATTTTATGGATTTCGGGTCAAGTTTACTCCTGTTTTGAGGGTATATGTGGACGAAGGCAGAACACCCAAAGATTTTGAAGGGAAGGTCAAAGGAAAGGACACGAGTATGAGGGAATATGTCAATAAGGGCTTGACATGGTGTACCAAATTTTAGAACACGAGATGGCATCCTATTGATGAGATATGCAAAGGTAAGAATGGCTTTCCCCCAAAGATACTATGGAACACCAGTAGAAAACATGAGGGATCGGGCTACTTCCAACAAATAGTCGCCTAGAGCTGAATAGAAATATTCTCGAGCATTGTCAGACTTAAGAATTTGGATTTTGGTACTGAATTGTGTTTGGACCATGGAGTTGAATGCTTGAAATATTCTATCAACTTCTGACTTTTCTTTTATAAGAAAAACCCAAGTGAGTCGTGTATGATCATCCACAAACGTCACAAACCACCGTGCCCCATTAATATTTTTTATTCGAGCAGGTCCCCATATATCACTGTGAATCAATGCGAATGGTTTTGATGGACAATAAGGCACATTTGGATAGATAGAACGAGTGTGTTTTGCAAGTTGACAGATCTTACAGGTAAAAAAATTTGGATTTTTATTGATGAATAAACGAGGGAATAACTTTTCAAGATACATAAAGTTTGGATGACCTAACTGATAGTGCCATAACATGACTTCACTATCGTTATTGACACTAGAATTAAAGACATACTTTGGACTGAAAATACTAATTGACTGACTCTTAGGAAGGTTTCTGCCCCCAACTAAAGCTTCTCCAAGTTGGGTGTCTTGAAGAGATAAAGTCCCGAGCACATCTCAGCACTGTCAATCCTCTTCCTCGAACCCAATTCCTGAAAAACACACATTTGGGAGAAATTTAGTAACACAATGGTGATCACGAGTGAACTTACTGATGGACATTAAGTTGCAATCGAGTTTAGGGACATGGAGCACGGATTTGAGAAGGATTTCGGGTGAGTCGAACAGATCCAATCCCTGCCACCTTAGACAGAGAACCATTGGCAATGCGTATTGTGAGATTGGTATTACTTGGTTGATATTCATGGAAGAGAGACCTATCGCTCGTCATATGGTCTAATGCCCTTGAGTCAATAATCCAATGTCTTGAATTGTTAGCACACACGGAGAGGGCAAATTGTGAATTACCTGCCTGTGCGTGCATGCTTGCGGATGGGGCAGGAGCGGTGTGCTGTGAGAGAGTACTGCTTAGTAGCTTTTGGAGCACTTCAAGTTGTTCCTTGGTGAAGGGGCTTGACTCGGTAGTGACTGGCTTATCCTCGGCTGCAGTGGCTGAATTTGCACAGCTGTCTCTGTCAGAACCTAATCTTGATGGCTTCCAATCAGCAGGTTTGCCGTGTGTATCTTCCAATACGTGTCCTTGGTGTGACCAGTTTTAGCACAGTGATCGCACCACAATCTTCCCTTCCTCTGTTGGCGAGAATCATTCTGATTTGAAGGACGTAACCCACGAGCAGCAAGGGCAGATCCTTCCAACGCAGGAGATGAATGTTGACTACCCATCATGACCTTTTTCCTGCTTTCCTCACGACGAACTTCAGAAAAGGTTTCTCGAAGGCTAGGAAGAGGTTTAGTTCCCATTACTCTGCCTCTAACTTCATCTAGGTTCTTGTTCAAACCCAGTAAAAACTTAAATGTCCTCTTCTGCTCCACTATTTTCCGATACAGGGCGTTGTCTTCTGGGCACTTCCACCCGTGGCTTTCAAACATGTCTAGTTGCTGCTAGTGACGGGTAAGTGTGTTGAAGTATTGTGTCACAGTGAGATCCCCCTGCCGTAGATCGTGAAGGATGGACTCAACTGCGAATAACTCTGATGTATTTTCAGAGCTGGAGTAAGTCTCTCTTGCGGCTTCCCAAATTTTTTGTGCAGTCGCATAGAGAAGAAAATTCTCACCAATATCAACATTCATTGAATTGATGAGCCATGACATAATCAGATGATTTTCAGCCTTCCACTTTTTGTATTCTGGATCATCCTTCTTCGGAATTGGAATCTCCCCTGTTAGATAATCCTCTTTGCCTCTGCCACAAGATGAACATCCGGACTGATTGAGACCATTGGAGGAAGTTTTGCCCATTAAGTTTATGGCTAGTGATCAGGGGTGATAGATTTTCAGAATTTCCGGAATGTCCAAAATTTGAAAGACCGGATGTCTGATTTGAATGAGAAGAGACTTCAGAGGTAGAGTTGGTTGTTTCGGGAGCCATGGTTGTGCCTGGCTATGAGGGATGGTTGGGAATGACGGTTAGGGTTTTTTCAGAGAAAAAGAAACCGGGTCTCTGATACCATGAAGATTTTGAGGAAGAATAATCTTCTCTATTTTCTCATTGAATTAATCGGTAAATAATACACACTTATATACACGATTTACATAACCTAAGAAGATAATAAATCCCTACAAATAAGGAATAAAACCAGATCCTCCTAAACTTACGGGATCTGAATAGGGGAAATCCGGATTCTCTAATCCACGGATTTCCTCCTATAACTACTCCTAAATATACGAACTATAGAGGGAAATTCCACAGATACCAACCATTTTCAGAGTCTTTTCTCAAGCTTGAAGTGTTGATAACGCAGCCTCCCTAAACAAACTACACAAGAATTTGTCTACCTGAAACTAAAGATGAGAACTAAACATAGGTACGTCTCACATAATTTAGGCATAAAACCAAAATGAACAATAACCAAAAGCTAGTTGCTTACCTGCATGCGTGTTCTCACATGTTCAACGAGTGCCAAATCGCTAGCAACTAAATGGAGAAAAGGAGCCATGTTTGGTGCATTCTTGATACTAAGCTCCTCTAACAAGTTGCAAAATATTCTAAGACTGCAAATGATGAAAATTTTCTTTTAAAATCAAAATGAACAATGGCAGAAAAGCATACACAGTGATTTGGAGAAGCTGCACTCAATGTTTCTGGATCTTCGAAGCATGGGGGCAGTATCCACTTACAACTACCATATTGTCCAATACACTAAATTGCCACTCATACACGAGGATTAACTCAACAATATTTGTGGTTAACTATAAGATGGTAAGCTTTCCATTGGCCATTTATTATATGAAAATCGGGAGGAAAAATGTGCTCACGAGTTCAGATGTTTGGAATGCAATAAAATCAACGTCCTTACTGTGTGCATATATATCCATGTCAAAAGGAAGAAGTTTGTATCATGAGGTTAATGGCATGTCATACGCCAACTTTCACAAAAGTTCTAGCCAGCCAAGTATAGCATAAAAATTGGTTCTTCTGAAATGTAAAAACTTACAAAGCAGAAACAGTAAGTAAAAAATTCAGCAACAGCCAACAAGAAAAAAATAACACAGCTCCTTAAAGCGTTTTACAGAGAAAATTGGGTAATCAAGCAAATCACGAATGCCCACAAACAACAGCCAAATAAAGATTTTTGAAATTTAGTTTCCAAAGAAATGGGAGTTTACACACACATATATATATATTGTGAACTGAAAAAAAAAATTAAGGAAACTTAGAACAAAACTAGTTTAAAAGTAACTTTTTGAGAAAGCATAAAGTCACAATCACAATACACCAAGCATCTCGAGATCTTAGAAAATGACAAAACCTCTTTCTAAAGATCAGTCTCCCAAAACCTTATCGTTCTCATATAATCTACCACCAGTTTAAAGCCACTTCCTAACGCACATGAGGAGCAGTTATTTAGATTTTATTTGTATGTTAGGATTTTGACTATCACGTCCTTTTTAATTTATTTAATAATAGAGCTCACATTATTTTCTTCTAATTATTTAGTAGAGAGAATTAATATTTGGAAAGGCAAGAGAAGGCCTCAGAGGGAACAAAGTTTTTTTTTTTTTTTTTTTTTTCCCCCTTTCCCACCAAACGTTAAGGGGGGAAAAAAAAACCAACCCCTTCTTTTTTTTTTTTTTTTTTTTTGTATTTTCTCATTATAGTTTTTTTTTCCTTCATCTTTTCCTTCCTATTTGCAAAACGACTAACGATATTAACAGCAATTATAAATTAAAATTACACTAATATGTTCACCAAAAGACTCATAGTAAATAATAAACCTATTAAAAGTACGAAATGCAACTAAATTAGAACATGTGTCCATAACAATACAATAAAGTGCACCCTGAAAAGTGCACTTAAATAGACATTTGAAAATATACACTGAAAAAAGAATATACATTTATCCTCATGACTCGTGATTTGGCTTTGTGTCTTACGTTTTTGTACATTTATCCTCTATTTCTAAAAAGTGCACCCTCATGCATTCCATTAGTTAATTTTACTAATACATGAAAACGAGTTGTCATTTGAAAATTTACAATGAAAAAATATACAAAACGCAACATATAGTCAACAGGCAAGTCTCGTTGGGGATGCTTTACATGCAAAGATAATTGGCAACGCCAACGTGCAAAGATAATTGAGCCAACGATTGTTTCTTTAATTCTTAAGAGAATCACAATAAAGTTTGTTATACACACACAATAGAAGTGAGTTATTCAGGATGTAATGTGACGGAGAAAAATTTGTATATAGATTTTGTACCTCCTTAGTAGTACTAGTAACTGAATCGAAACCAATGTATGAAAAGAAGACAATTGCAGATCCATCAAACATCCCGTTTATTCCACAGGGAAAATACCTAAAAACAAGACAAGATAAATAAAATGAAACAATAAGTACCCGCTCTGATAAAAAGCAGGATTACCAATGTCAACTGTTGTAACAACCATTTGAAACAAGATTTATTCTAATGAAAGGAAAGAAGTTAATAGAGAAAATGTTAAACAAACGACAATAAGTATATATAGGCTAGAAAGACCACAAGAGAACAGTGACTATTACACAACTAATAGTGCTGCACATGGATCAACCACAATACAAAGTCCAGGAATCGTGTGACGAGCCAAGAAAGTAGGTATGTTGTCCTCACCTCCAAAAACAAGGCCTGATTTGTTTTTGAACAAGTAAAAGAAATTTCAATAGAAAGGAGAGAGATATTATAGATAAGGAGAACAAACTGGGGAGAAGGAAAAAAGAACAAGGCAAACCAAATTCCAATTACACAGCTCAACTATACCAGATTGGGAGTTATTTCACGGGTACAACAACACCACTAATAGTGTACTTTAGTATTAGAGCCCAACTAACCTGCCAAGCAAAAGCACAAGAGCGAACCGATAAGTACCATCATAATTCATATATGGTTGGCCATACACTCTTTTCCAGTCCAGTTGAAAAGCCTAAGAAATTAAATAACAATAACATGTTTTCTTTGTACAAAATTCTGATTGAGGGAATTTCTGGAGCTATAGAATTTAGCAAATCCCATATTTGCCGCTTAGACATTCGGACATTCCTAAAGTCAACAGAAAATGGAAGATGAAAAGTACAAATATGCTTGAGACTCTTGTTCTCATAGATAGGCATAGCTACCAATAAGAACTAAAAGAAGAGCAGAAAAGTAGAGAAAGATAGAACAGTTGTAGATTGGTAACTAAATATACACTTTCGCAAATTAGCATGCTACCATATTTTAGTGGTTCAATTCTGGTAACAAGCAAAAGATCCAGTCATACATGACACACACTCCTATTGGCGGAATACCAATTCGCAAGAACGAGCACCCAATAGTCGATTGATAATCGATGGGACTCCTTAGACAAACTATATGAACGATGATCGATTGTGAATTAGTTGCCATAACGACTATCGACTTGAGAGGTTCGTCAACCAATGATTACATGACACGAGTCTCCAGCCATAATCATCGACCGTCGACCGGAGGTATTGGGAGGCATGGATTGTGTGTCTCCCAATTATATCAAGCGCTCGACTCGAATCAACTAGCACTAAGGGTAACTGATCTCAGTTTCTCACTAGCCGAGAAACTCGGAGAGAACCACTAGCCCCCACTCTTCCACTAAGCATGATGACATGTGTCAAGGTCTAGTTCGAAGCCAAAATCCCAATATGAGTGGGTAGTGAGGTGGCCCACGATTGGAGTCAGTTCAGGGGCCAATTCACCATAAATAGAGAGCGAAGACCTCAGAAAAGGGGGTTACGAGGACGCATGCAGAAGAGAGAATTAGAGTAGGAGATATGAAAAAGAGAGGAAAGCGAGAGATTAAGGAGAAGTGTATTCTGTATTATTTCAATTTGATTGTGAAAAACACTTATTTGGAGTAAACCACTCTAAACCTTGTGTTGGTATCTCCTTATTTGCTTTAGATTTGTTAATTTCTTACATGTTATCACGTTTTAGTAATTTAAACCAACTATCTGTATTTCTGATTGAGAGTGAATCTTCACAGCATACGGGTTCCGACGGTGGTCATAAGTCCCTCAAAATCCTTTGATATCGAAATTGATTTTTCTTATCAATTGATTGCAGGATAACAACAGCTACACCAGACTTTCTTATGCAATCCAAGAAAATAAAAGATATTATTTGTCAAGAAAGCCAGGCTTGCAAATAGCATTTCTCACCTGGCAAAGATCCCTTATTTTAGAGTCCTCCCAACATCCTTTTCACTTTGACAAAGAATCAGAATATCAGATCAATGTTTCACACCAAAAATAACAACCTGCACAACAAGCACTCAAATAAAAAATCAGTAAAGCTAAGTTCTTCAGATTTCCCTCGTTTTATCTCTAATCATAAACATTAAGAAAGAACAATGGCTATGAATGAAAACCCACCAAAAACCTGTTTCGAATCAAGCTCCCTCCTTTTCCACATATCCAAATAGCTCGCAGATCTAAAGAGGTAAAAAATGAAAATGAAGAGAAAAGGTGGAAAAAGGAAATATGATTAGTGTAAAGATGACAGAATATGCACAATTAAGTCTCGTAATCCAAAAAAACAACAAAAAGAGAAAAGGAAAATATAATAAGAAGAACGCTTCTGAAATGGTGCTCTCTTTAAATAAGAAAATGGGATTAAGGAACTTGGGTTGTGTCTTCTTCCTCATCATCTGTGAACCTCGTTATCAGAGGTCTCAGAATCAACATCATCACCAACGATGACAACGACATTGAGGCTTTCTGGCACAGGACCTGCGAGCAGCGATCAGGCTCATGGAAATGGAGAAGAAAAATTGGGATTTGCTCACAAAGCTTTTACCATTTCCTTTTAGATCTCCCCCTTCTCACACGCTTTGCAACAGTAGAGACAATACCCCCACCATCATTCATCCAAATCTATTTTTAGAACCAGAAGCAAGGGGGAAGAAGTAGAGAATGCAAGAGAAACCTGGACTTCAGAACACAATTATGATTTTGGTTGTATCATTCCAATAATTTATGTTTAAACTTGGATCTTCAAGAAAATTCGGTAATCCACATTCTTCAGAAGAAACGAAATCTAATACAAATGCAATGGTTGAAAACCTAAGTACAATATAATATTATTAGGGTAAAAAGGAAAAATATGGTGCATACGTGAACAATAAAGAAATCAAGAAAAGGACATTCTTGCAGCAACTACCAAGAAGCGAAAAAAATAGAAGAAAAATGAGTAAGAGTTGAAATAATACAACCAAAACAGAAGAAAAAATTTGCAAACTGATCCAGTGACTATGAAAAGTATGTATAAAGAACATGTTCCAGTCAATAGACAAAATTTACAAACAGACCCAGTGACAGAAAAGTAATAATAAAGGATACAGAAATATATGAAGTGTATCAGCAAGCAATCATTCCAATGGGTCTTTGACCCTAAAATACTAATCCTCAAAGGAATTTCAAGAAAATAAATAGTTCTTCAGTGACAATAATGATGAGTTAAAAAATATCACAACAAATAAATAGTTCATAATGATGAGTTAATATATAGTTCTTTTATATTACCAACAAATGTCTAAAACAAAGAAGAAGAGATTACTTGTCATTTTTTTTAGTATTACCTTCTCTTGTCATTGTGTGATAATGAATATTTGCCTCTTTGCAACCCCTCATTTTTCAAAGTATAAACACAAACAAAAAATAAAAAATACTCAGTAAGATGTAAATATCAAGAAATAACCAATAAAAAGAAATTAAAAAGGACAAATGTAAAAAAAAAACAATAAATAGAAATTAAAAAGGACAAATGTAAAAAAAAAACAATAAATAGAAATTAAAAAGGACAAATGGAGTCGATTACATACACAAACAAAAATAACAATTTAGTAATTAACTAGCATAGAAAAATAGAGGACTACAACCTAGTCGAACTTTAATAGACAAATAAGTTCAGTAAAGTGGACAAATACAAATGGCAATATGAATAAGGCTACTATTTCTTAATTTATAGAAAAATCAAACCAATACATACAATAAAGAAAAAAGAAGGTAATTGATTTGCCCCCAAATATCAACCGGCTGTGATGTGCTTTCAAGGTTCTACACCTCTCAAACACAAAGAACAATAAACACCCTGGCTAAAGTTTTCACAAACCAGCGGAAGTGATCTTCCAGCTCACGTTAGAAGAAAATAAGAAGAATAACAATCTTCAATCACTCAAGAACAATTCAAAAACTAACTCTTGAATTCAATCTGGGAGCTCACTCGACCAAGGCACCAATTGGCAAAACAATATTCCACTCTTGTGGAAAGTCGTTAGAATAGGATTGTATAGCTGTAGCTTCCTATTTTATAGGGATTTGATTTGTTTCCTGATTTTTCTAGATAAGGAGTTACCTAATATAGGGCTGAAATCAAGGGATTTAAAACCGGCTGTGGTTATCCATAATTGTATATAAATAGTGGCTGTACAGAATTGTTTTGGGGAATAATAAGAATTATTCTTTCTCCTAAAAACCTAATCCGGCTCTAAGAAATCTTCAATTTTCATTATGGCGTGTAAGAGGCCTTTTATAGGGCTAAGGTTACAATAAAAATGCAAAGGAAACTAAAAGGGCATAAAGGACATTCATCCCTTAGCCTCCAAGGAAACAGCTACTTAGCCTCCAAGGAAATTACGATCAGGAAACAAATCAAAACAAATCAAAAGAAAGAGGAAACTAAAAGCCCTAGACTTGTGCGCCACCTTGAGGGAAAGCATATAGGTTTCTTGCATCCAAAGCAATCTGGAAACTTGCCAAATTAATCTTCTCCTCAAGCTGTTCGAATTGGATCTCCTTCTTGGGATGGATCTTCTTCAACTTTCATAACAATGAACACACGAAAAACACGGCCCAATGGTTCTTCATAAAGCCCAACGTCCTCCCTTGTAAAAGCCTCAATTGTCGTTAACAACATGGCCTCCAATTGTTGGTCCGAGGTCGCATTGTCATCATTCTCCCCTGGTTGAGGACTCGTCCGCGAGTCATCACACACATAGGGAGCAAGATCAGCAACATTAAAAATTGGTGAGACGCTATGATCTTCCGGTAACTCCAAGCAATATGCATTATCAATGTATTAATCCCGTCGCAGCATTCAGGGGGTGTTAGGAAATTTTATTTCCTATTAATTATTGTGGGCAACATATTAATTAACGATTATATTATCGTTATTTAAATTGATTGGACAAATCAAGTGGTCAATTTAGGAAAGTCCAATAAGTTTCGTAACTGGGTATGGACCAAATGGGCGGATATCAAATATTGATCCAATTAAGTTTAATGGGTGTCATCAAAGTATATATATGTGTGGGTTCCTCGTTCGTCATTCTAAAGGAGGTGAAGAAGAAAGAAGTCATGGAAAAAAAACGGAATGGAAATATAGAAGAAAGAAGGGGCAAAGCTAATGAAAAAAATTAAGAAAAGGCAGGGAAAGACTCAGAAAGAGAGAGAGAGAGAGAGAGAGAGAGAGAGAGAGAGATCACAAATGGACAAAATAACTTAACTAAAACTTTGAACTATACTTTATGAGAGTAGCTACAGTAAACCTATTCAGATCTCTAATATAGTTAAGGATACAAGATAGATCTTAGAAATGTGTGTAGAGTGATTCTAATAGAGCTTTATGTATGTTTACTTGTGAAGTTCACTTTACTACCTCTTAAACTTTGAATGGTTGTAAAATCACTAATGTCACCAATGCTCCAGCACCAAAAATGCTCTTGTTTGTGTAGTTCACTTTACGGTTCAATATACTTATTCATATTTGAATATATTACCAATGTTAATTTACTCATACAAATTTCATTATAGAACCCTTATGAAGAATAATAAAAAACGAGAGGATGAGAGAAATGAATTATTCACAAACATAAAAGATTCTATATCTATTCAAGATATTGATGAACAGTACGTGAAGATACAAAAATGAAGCAGCTTTTCTATGTTTTCTTTTTTCCCCTCTGTTGTAGTTCCATTGATGCATTTTTATAATATACATACAAATTCATAAATAAAAGGTCTAGGAAAAGCTGAAAATAAAACATGCAGACAAATGGTGAAAGTCGCAACAATAAAAAGATAAAATAACAAAGTTGACTTTTTCCTTAAATATTTTTGGAGCACTTGGCAAGCACAACGAAAAAGTAAATCCCAGAAAATCTACAAACTCAGTAAAAGTTCAAGCATTTAAAAAATGTTGAGACTGAAAAATATTCTAGAACACCCAAAAAAGCAAATATAATTTCCTCTAAACTCTAGACAACGAAGCCTAATGAATCATGTATAATCTAATTCATAATATCATAAAAAACAAACAAAACCTGAGTGAAATTAAGAAGTTAATCAGTTAAGCATCGCCACAATGTCAAAATATTCGAGCAAATTGAAGCTCCAAGTGAAAACTCTACGGACCCCACAAAAATTCAAGCTAAACACTATCCTTTTTTTTTGTCCTTAAAAAAGGGAATAAGAAATGCTAAAATCACAGCAAATGCTTTGACGTTTCTTAGTTTAAGGTTGAGAAGCAAAAGAAGATGTGGAAAACTTAATTGAAGAGGAAATAAAAAATCTTGGATTTGGATTTCAAGTTTGAATAAATCTAAGCAAGCATGAATTCAAAAATAAATAGATAAATACAATCTGAAACCAAATTAGAACAACAATCCAAACGAAGAAAACGAAATACCTAAATTCCTAAAATTAAAAAAACAAAGAAGAAAAAAAAAAGAGCAGGGAAAAAAAGGAAGAGATGACAACAAATCTATAAGAGAATCGAACCTGTGGAAAAAAAAAAAAGAAAAGAAAAGCATAACAAAATCCCATAATAAAAACAGAAGAGAAGACATCACAAGTAAACATGCGTGAAGAATTTAATGGAAGTGCAGCAAAGAACAAACCCATAGGAGAGAGGGGGGAGGCTGCGGAAGACAACGACCAGAGCAAAGCGACCAGCTTTCCAACAGCCGTCGCCGTCGACAGAACAATAGACCCCGAGCGACCACCAACAATCTAGCAACACACCACGCGAGCCTCTCCCATCAAAACCCACTGCGACCCTCCCCCGGAAGCACGCCACACTGGTCACAAAACCCAAGCGATCCGCCCCCGAAAGGCTGCCGTCTTGTTCGCGAAATCCAAGGCGACCTTTCTTCGTTCAGGCCCCATCTCAGTCAATCCTCATTCGACCTTCGTCGTTGTTGTCGGCCTCTTTGCCGCCGCCGTTGGTGGGATGGGATGGGGTGGGGTGGGGTGAGGGTCAGGGGCTTTTTTTTGGGATTTGAAGAGACGTTGTAAGGAGTTTTCTTAAGAATACTAGACAGGTCTAGGAAAAATTTGCAACTTCCATACAGTGTTGAACTATTGCGCCATAGCCCAAAATAGACACTTTGCTTCCTTCCGTTAGTATTATGCCCTTTCCAATCTATCCAAGAATAT